ATATATATTTTTCTGGTCACTAATCATGTGTTGAAAGCAGATAGGGTAAGCAATTGCCTTGCTCCACGAAAGAAACTTACTGGCTTTTTAAGGGCAGACTTCTTTCTGCTCCCCCACATAATAAATCAGTAAATTTATCATGGTTTGCTGACAGACAGAGTCACCCAACCCACCCCCAAAATATAAATATCAGTCATGCCCACCAACCTACAGCACTTCTGTATTAGCTGCGCCAGGTCTATCCCAAAGCCATGCACGGCAGGATAAGTTAACGTGGTGAGGTGGTGAAGCTCGAATGGCTTAGATTTGTCATTATCTAGGACTGCCATGAACCAAAGAAACGGCTAACTGAGGGTTTGACAGCGCAAAAATGGAGATAAAAATAAGTTCCGCGCTTCAGATTATCTCCTTCTTTCCCTATGAACTGTCACTCTTGGGTGCGTATCAAACATGTTTGGGCGGCTGGGGAATTAGTCCAATCCATGCATAAAATATGTGCAAATTTTGCTGTTGGAAGTTGTTGCAGAGAAATTGGTTAACATTTTAAGCCACAAATGGAAACTTTAAAGTCAATCAGAAAGGAAGGGAAAGTGAAGTTGTATCACGTTCGTAGATACTAAGAACAATAAAAGTCATTAAATAAGCATAAGACTGATATTTTTTGGTAACATTTTGTAATCAGCTCATTTGAGTACAAATCTGTAAAAATGAGTGCTCAAACGGTGGTATTAGCTTTGAGTTTCATCCAGAAAATATTTCCTGAATTTTTCACTCCTGCTTTCCGGAGTGGTGGCATTTGTTGGTCAAGTTTCTTCGGACTAAAGAAATACGTGGAGTGAAATTCTCTACTAGGTCTTGCTGATGTCTGTACCTGGCTCTGCTTTGGCGGTGTGCTGCCTACGTGGTGCGGACCAAACAAATTGGGGATGCGTGAAACCCTTGCATTTGGCACACAGCTCTAAATTGTGTTGCATTTTGCAAAGAAGCCAAACTTGATGCATGCAAGTGGCTGGAGTCGCTGGGCTTTCGGGCTTGAAGGTACCTGGTGCCCTTGCTCTGTGCACACATGATTCAGATGTCGGTGAGCGAGGATATAGCTATAGTTATCCAGGTTCTGTGGAGCCTTGTTGGGCAGGAGTGGAACATTCATGTGCAATATGGGGAAAGGGAGTGAAAAATTCCTCGTCATAGGGTGTTGCTTGACACCCAAGGTCGGCAATTCTAGGACAGTGCCTCTCGGGCCTGGCTGTGGCGGCATCTGTGCGGGCGCCTCCCCCCGAGCGTCGTCTGTCAGATGCCATTACGGACGCTGTATTACTGCGCGCGCCGCGGTGGCGTTTAATTCGTTTTGTCCGCCCCTCACGGACCTATGTTGTTGTCCGCCCCTCACGGACCTATGTTGTCGTCCGCCTCGGGTGGCCGATGGGCTAGAAATGGCTCGCATGCGACGATCAGTCCATTACTGTAGGAGCTGGGTCGTGTTTTGTATTGTTTGGATTGCAGTTTAGGTTCGCTGTCATGGATGGCTTGGTTCCTTTTCACCTTATAATTCGCCTTTTGCAGTTTGTGAGATGCCTGTTGGAAACTTTTATCATGTTTTACGCTCTGTGTGCCATAAGGAACAGACGGTGCTCGCATCACGCTGTTTTTACTTTTAGTTTGTTTGTTGGTCAATGCCTGCACTAGATTCAAAAGAATTATTGTCATGCACTGTAGTCGCACAGAAAACCCATATTGCGCATGCTTTGTTATTTTTCGCGACCTGTTACCATGCTACCCTCCGACTTGTTACACATTTATCACGTTGCCTCCATATTACCGACATGTTACTTTCGTGCACATTCGCCGTTCCGTGAGGAGAAAGACAGTTCATTGCGTTCACTACATAAGGAACAATTATTGCCACGGCCTTGTCTTATAAGAACCCTCTATGTCCAAGTACGTGCGAAACTATGGCAAGATTAGATGTGCCGTGGCCAGCAGAGCTTGTAAAATGTTTTAGCAACACTAGATGAATGGAGCAATTTAATCACTGAGGTGTCAGCTACATTGCACGCCCAAATTGCATTACTGTGCTTCTTTTACCCGGCGTTTGACATTTATGAGGGTGCCATAAATTTAATGAGAATTTAGATGTTCGGCGCTTTATGATTGTCTCATTTGAGATGACTTCTACGTTGATGCTTGACAAACCTGTGCTTCGCATCTTTGGCGGGAGTGTAGTGATGATCTTTAAGATGTTTGTACATGTTTACCTCGATCAAGACGTTACTCTGATTCCGTGTCATGTCCACATTAGACGCATGCCGGGCCCTTTTTAGCGCATGACGACGACCACCGTTTTCCTTAACAGTGTCCATGCAACCGTTTGTGGCAGCCAACTATACCGTGCACATGTTAGCTTAAGCAGTAGTGAGTGGATGATATCAGAACAAATCCTGGCGTCGAGGTTCTTTTCCAGGGACGTCTGAGACCGCAGTATATATGTGGAGCGCGCTGGAGCCACGTACTGGCCCAACTGGGGCCTCCGCTTGCACTGAGAGGTGGTAACAACTGAGGCCTCCGCTTGCACTGAGAGGTGGTAGCAACTGAGGCCTCCGCTTGCACTGAGAGGTGGTGGCAACTGAGGCCTCCGCTTGCACTGAGAGGTGGTAGCAACTGAGGCCTCCGCTGGCACTGAGAGGTGGTAACAACTGAGGCCTCCGCAGGCACTGAGAGGTGGTAGCAACTGAGGCCTCCGCTGGCACTTAGAGGTGGTAACAACTGAGGCCTCCGCAGGCACTGAGAGGTGGTAGCAACTGAGGCCTCCGCTGGCACTTAGAGGTGGTAACAACTGAGGCCTCCGCAGGCACTGAGAGGTGGTAGCAACTGAGGCCTCCGCTGGCACTTAGAGGTGGTAACAACTGGGGCCTCCGCAGGCACTGAGAGGTGGTAGCAACTGAGGCCTCCGCTGGCACTTAGAGGTGGTAACAACTGAGGCCTCCGCAGGCACTGAGAGGTGGTAGCAACTGGGGCCTCCGCTTGCAACGGGAGGTGGCAGCAACTGAGGCCTCCGCTTGCACTGAGAGGTGGTAGCTGTTAGTGTCTCTGTGGTGCTGTGGTGCTATGGTGCTGGTCCGGGCTTTATAGGTTACTGTTTTCGTTCTCAACCCGTATGACAGAAAAGCTTTCATTGTAACCTGGACTTTTTTAAATGAGTTCGTTGAATTAAAACGTCATAGCGATTCGATGGGTTCCACACAACATGACCGGTTTTTTTGCAGATCGCGTAGTCAAATTAAAACATCAGGATGATCCAATGGGCTGCGCATAATGTGACTGCCATTAAAAGAACTGGGGTCTCCATATAAGGCTGTTATTTTATGTTTCTTAGAACAAGAGGGAAATTGCTGTTTATAGGGAGGCTTTTTAACCCCAACAAACATTGAGCATACGAGATATTTCCACTTCCCCGCCTTGTCTTTGGATGCAACGCTATGGACTTAAACGCCGCGACATTGAGAGCTCCGACACACTTTCCATTTGGTGTTTGTTTATGTCCAAAAGTGGCGACCTATTACATTGCGAGGCATTATGTCCAAAAGTCGCGACCTATTACATTGCGAGGCACCGCCTTGCCAGTACCGGTGACGTCAGACGCTGTCGCACGAACCGGCCCGGAATCGGGGCCGGGTCAAAGGGTCGAAGGGAGCTGTGCATTGTTGAACTCGTTACATGCACTGTTGGGTACCGTTGAGGTTAAACGGCGCCACATTGTCTGTGATGATATACGAGCTCATGAAGCTGCCTCGATGAGTTCGGAGCTTAGAATGTATTCATTTCACGTGATGGGTGTTTGTTATCCGATCCTATTCGCTGTCGTTTGCAGCCACGAATCACGTGCAATTTCTCGTATGACGGCTTCTCGTGTGACGGCTCGCAGACCGCCTTTCTCTGCATCGCCACGCACGCCCCGTGGTATCACCAGAAGCCAAATGTTAGGCCGGCCGGGTCAGTCCAGGGCCAAATGTTTTGGCGATGGTATAAGCTCTCCAGCTGTTCTTGAGTTTCACCGTGGGCATTCATGGTTTTGTTTCTAAGTACCCGGGCTGTGCGCAAGGAGATCTCGACCCGTTTGTGTCGCTCCTGTAGCAGCGGGCATACGTATGAGCTGTGAGCGTTTCAGCGCCAGCTCAGCTCCGGTGTACGAGCTCGCAGCCTTCTCGGTGACCTGTCGTCAGCACTAACCGGAATAGGATGCGCCTGTTCAAATATGTTTGTTGAGCCCCAGCCGCGCGCGAAAGAGCAGCCTGCAGTCGGATTTTCTCCCCCGCATCAGGCTTGGTCAACAGATCATATACTGGTTCGCATCGCCGAAGCACTCAGATGCACGGTGGACTAGATAGAGTCGCGCAATTACACGCTCTTTAGGCATATTAGACTTGGGTCAAATGAGCTCAGTATGTGCGCCTCACAGATTGAGCACGGTACCTAGCTTGCATGGGTTATGCAAAAGAGTCATTTGACACTCACTCCAGAGTGCTTAATATACATAACACGCGATGGCAGATCTTCACCACCTCTCAGTTCAACAGCCGAGTGTAACTACGACGTGACCGCGAGTGGTGCCTGCAATTTTCCCATCACGCCTATTGAGTGTCGGCCAAGGTGATCTCCCCCCCCCCCCCCCACCCCCTAGTCTGTTGCACAACGGGGCGCTAATTAAGCCCGATCCAGAGCAGCTGACGACTCTTGTAGCCGCCGCCATGATGACTTGCCATTCTACCGCTGTCATGAAGCCGCACTTCATCTCGTAGACCGCTGTAATGTCTGTTTTGTCTGTCGTGCTGATGTTGCAAGTCTTGCGTCGAACGCGGCGGTGACGTGTTTTCCCACGTGTTGCAGGGAGGCAGCAATATTTGTTCCTGAATGTTACTGAGAGGCAAAAAAGCAATTAAGCCACTGCGTAAGCTGCTTTTCGCTTTTCGCCGCGCTTATGCCAACTGTCGTGCTTGTTTCAGGCGGGTGTCCAAAGACCGGGCGTTTCAGCACGGCTATTCCTGGGTACCTCCTGGACTCGGCAGAGAAAAGGTAACCCCCTCACGGCCACCCTCACTCCTCTGCGCGCCTGACCAATGTGGCAACCACTAAGTTCTTCAGCTTGTCTAACAAAGCCGTGTTTTCGGATGCGGGAATTGGTATATTGTGGGCATTTTATTATTTGTACTTGTTTATTTGCAAACGTAACCGCGTGTTCCAAACAGCAGGGTGTGGAGAACTGTGTCAGCCGTTGGCGTCACGTATTCGTAATTGGTGTAGACGCCATTCTGAACTACGTCGAATGCATTCTCAGTGGTGTCATGCATGCTCTCAAGTGAGGTGTTTCACCTGACGAATAAACGCTGTAATTGCCCTCTTCAGTCGCGCTTGGAGACTATTCGACATGGTGTTTCATCACGGCTTTACCATGTCCTTCAATAGCTACTGTGTTGTAATGGTTGGGTCAATGACCTAACCAATGATCTCGGTGCACTGAGGGTGTGTCAAACGCAGTGGCTTCGCGGCACACCAGCGGGTGGGTTCGACCCGGGGCTTCCTGTTAACTTGACGAGTAGAAGCAATCTAACGGCGGAGGACATTATCCCATAGTTCGGGCCACTAGGGGCGGGGCAGTGCCCTCGCAATAACCTGCGCTCGGCGAGGTCTCTTATCCGAACGTGCATGGGGCAAATACCGTGTGACCAAATGTCTTAGGGCAGATGAGTGTAACGAAAGCACATGAGTCAGCTGCCTGCCGGCACGGGCCTTTCCGAGCCTGAGGCGAAACACTAGGACACCAGTCGACGAATACAGAAGTGACGGGCACCGTAGCAACCCCGCGTGGTTGTGAGAACTCCGCCAGCCGAGGCCAGCGGGAATGTAGGTCAGGACGGGGCAGTGGGCCGACGAAATGCGATCTGCCGTCGGAGCCGACGCGGTGACACCGGGCAAATAGTCGGGGTCACGGCACCGGATCAGCCGCGACGGCCGGCTGTTAGTGGATATGTGGTGGGGCGCACGGAACGGGGTCCCGTGCATTTCAAAATTGCATTTGATGGCAAGCATTGTAGAACATACAGCTGCCGTTGTCCAAGCACCTCGTTCTTGCTATCATGAAACGACTAGATTGTGTCATGATCACTATAAAGAAAAGCCGATGTCTTTGAGAAACCGACAGACGAAATAATTTACCGTAGCTTAGCGTTGCAAGGCGTCACGGTAGCATGGTGCGTCGAGTGATCTGTTCTGAAAAATGCCGACTGCCGATCAACTGATATTTCAGAACTTTGGCCACGTTGAAACGGCAGCGTGTTCAGAAAAGCTTTCATTATCAAACCTTTGGCGCCATCCGCCTCCGAGGCCTCGGCGTCTGGTCTCCGTGGGCGGTCTCGGCGCCGAGGCGGAGCAGCGGCCCACCCCTCCCCCGGTCCCACAGACCAGAACGGTCGCCGCCGCCGTCCGGCGCAGCCGTCTTCCCAGAGCGTCTGTCGTACGTGAGTCACCACGGCCACGTTCGTGGAAGAAGGGGCTGGGTGTGTGAGTGAGGGTGGGGCGGTGGTCGCCGAGGGGCGGGAGGGACGACGCAGCAGCGGCGCCGCACGGCAGGCGCCACCGCAGAACGTCACGCTTGCGGTCAGCGGCTGCGACGGGTGCGTCAGCCTTTACAGCTACAGGACGGCTGGCTGACCAGTCGGAGGCATTCTTACTCACGCACTTGACATCTGTCTTCGGCCGCGACAGTTAAGATCGAGCTTGTTTCGAGGAAACAGTCTGCACTTTAAGACCGTGCCACACAACGAACCACCGTCACGGCTTCTTTTGATTCACCTGAACGGCATACTGGAACAAACACATGTTGTCCATGCTCGTTGGAACCCCACAGTTGAAGTTATGCTCTATCGAGCACCTGGTTGGCGAGCCGGATTAGATAAGTCGACCAATCTTTGAAAATTGTGTCATTTTCGGCATCTGTGGTTAGGGTACACGCCGTTCCACCAGACGGGCATCCGCTGAGATAATCTGCTGAGGCTGACGTCCGCTGACATCCGCTGAGGCGATCCGCTGAGGCTGACTTCCGTTGATGTCCGCTGAGGTAATCCGCTCAGACTGATGTTCGCTGACATCCGCTGGGGTAATCCGCTGAGGCTGACTTCCGTTGACGTCCGCTGAGGTAATCCTCTGAGGCTGGCGTTCGCAGACATCCGCTGAGGTAGTCCGCTGAGGCTGACTTCCGTTGACGTCCGCCGAGGGAATCCGCTGAGACTGACTTCCGTTGACGTCCGCTGAGGTAATTCGTTGAGGCTGGCGTCCGCTGACATCCGCTGAGGTAATCCGCTGAGGCTGACTTCCGCTGACATCCGCTGAGGTAATCCGCTGAGGCTGACGTCCGCTGACATCCGCTGAGGTAATCCGCTGAGGCTGACGTCCGCTGACATCTGTGGCTGAGATATCAGACGTTGACCGGTTACCCACGCTCACAACAAACTCGTCCGATATGCGTCATTTATTGCATTACGCATTATCTAGTTTTGAAAATACGAAAATGAAATATTTGCCTCTTTGGTAGTCGGCAGACACAGTTACCTGGTGGCCTCCCGAACGTTGACGTCCGGCCCAAAACACAGTTTGAATTTTGTGCAATCCGACGTTGTACAAAATACTGAGGTTTCTGACTTAATTCGCTATGCTTTTAAGCATGTTACTATTATTTGCTATTATTTAAACTATTATTTGCCATACATGACATGCCCATTGTGAAATCTTTGTAGCCTCGGTTTTAGGACTGTGTGATAATTTAAGATTGTACCAGTAGAATTATGCTTGAGTGTGTGCCACCAGATGCCGTAAATTTATTAAGTCTGTCGGTCCATCTTACGACTTATGTAAGCATGGAAAAGCGTGTGTTGCACACACGATGATTCAACGCGCGATGAAGTAAACGTCTTTTTTTAAAAACCGGCGGATTATGAAAAAGGCAGCGCAATTGTGAAGAGGAAGAGAACAAAACAAAGGTAAATTTGAAAATCAATTCTAACGCCAGACGAACACAATCTAGTCTAATGTTTTGCGATTTTACCAAGGGCCACAGAAGTTGGGTCCTTTTGAGACCCTTTGACTGTCCCAGAGTTCTACTGGGGAGACGTTTTACGAATGCCTATTGGGTGAAATGCTTACAAAAAGTGCATAGTTAAGCGTTCCCATGACTTGCGTCTTATCGCTGATGCTCTGGGAATGTCCTTGCATATTTTCTGACATTTCCAGCGCTGAGGTGAATGACTTTAAATGGGATATACATGTTAACTAAAGATTCACATGAAATCCTATCCGTTTTAGTTACACCCATTAGAGTTCTTATGTGCAACTTTACACAAGAGCTATATCGTGCCATGCGTACTGCGGAGAGTAACTGATGTTTCAGAAATTGCCAGACCAAAGTAATTTCCCGTGGCTTATCACGGCTAAAGGCACCACCCCGTTATAGGTTTGTTGAGTATTTTGGTCTAGAACACGTTGGCTGAGAATTTACGGATTTGTTTTACCTCCGGTTACGTAAGATGCCCGGTGTGTTTGTCATTTTACATGTAAAATGAGGATTCGTGCGAAATTTTACGAAACATTTAAAGATAGTGGAAAGCATTTCGCGCAGTGGGAGTCCCTAAAAATGGCCAGCATTACTAACGAAGTGCGATGAAATGTGGGGATGCTGGTCGATTACGGCGTGTTTACAGGCATTCGGCTAATTTTATAAGAATATCAATTGTGGGTGGTTAATGTGACTAACAGCCTTAAATCGTGGTGCATGCTGCATTTCGTCCCTGCTGGCTGTTTCCGACCTGAAAAATGAACGATGTTGACTAGAACCTATAAAAACGAAATGCTCGCCCGTGCCAAATATCACCCCGTGATAAATGAGCGGCGACGTGCCGGAAAACAGCTCACTTGGTGAGATTATCTGTAGCAATCAAGTAATGGTCAGATTTACATATTCAGGCACGTCGGCTTATGTATTTCAGTTTAGGAAAACTCATTTTCTTACTTTTGTTAGCTTAAGCTGGTTTTATATTGCCGCATGTTTCATGTTCATGCAAACCACCGTATCTGGTCATCGAACGGCATGCGGTCATTAGCACGCCTTCAAACCCAATCACATTGGTGTGGGCGGAAGCTGCCACTGATTCCAAGATCCAAGGAATCCAGTTTGTTTTTCCGCGTATATAAGTGGCCGTGCTCGAACTGGGCGCGGCGATGGCAACTCACGCCGACAGTCTGCCCGTTTTAACGGCGAATGCCCGGGCCCGCTGAGCCGAATGACACACTCGATCAGGCTGCCAGCGCGCCGAGTCCGGCCCGTCGGTCTGTGATGTCATCGGGGCGGCTCGCCGCGGACTCTCCGCGGTCAAGCTGGCGCGCCGGCCGGCCCGACCGGCGGCCCGGCCGCTGGCAGCGTCTCGGTCCGGTTTGCTTTGGCGATTGGACCGTGGGAACGAGGCGGGATGTTGTTGCGGCAGATCAGACGTTGATGCGGAGCTCAGCTGCTGGATAGGGGCAGCATATTTACAGCGGCGTTTATGATATCGGCTGTCATAAGGATATCATATCGGCATGCGAGCTACTTTCTATGCATGGAACCCGAATTGCCCATGGCCAACTTCCTTGAACATCGATTTCTTAAACGAACGGTTCTAATACATTATATACATATAGGTGTCTAATAAGTCGTAATAACTAGCAAGCTTGGACTACGAATTAAATAAACTGATTGCTTTAACGACACAGCAGCATGACAATGGCATTCGACGCATTCTCGAACACAACCTGAACCCATGAACTTCTTTGTGGTTTTTCACCACCTACATGTCTTGCACGTTATCCCCAACGTGGCACTGTCCCCCCCCCCCCCCTCCCCATCTCCTCCCGAGAAAACCGCTCGCCCGTCGGACGTCTGGAGCTGCGTCTCGCGTCCCCCGGGACAGTAATGATCCACGGCGCTGCTCTGCGGGGTCCGCCCTCCTGTCGGCCGGCGGGCCCCGCGGACTGAACACGGCGCGACC